GTCTCCAGCCATTATTATAACGTTATTATATATTACAGTGCGGTATAAACCTGCTTATCATTTTTGTTCTGTTATCAACCGTTTCCTAGCAACTTCTACGTTTTTATCACAATCGTTTGCACACATGAAGGTTTTGTATCCTGATTCAGTCGTTACAAGCAACCATACCAACATTCTATAGATCACAGCGAATTCAAAGAATAACTAAAGTTTTTAAGGTGTGTAGAACAATAAGCTTACGTTTTACATTTCAAATCTGAACAAAGCTACTCAAACCGTAGCTTGAAGTCTGTTGACTGGATTATTGGATATTGTGAAGGACTAGATCATCAGTTAAACAGCCAATAATGTGGATTGCGAAAAAATGTTTAACAGGATTTATTTTAGTGTGTTTGGCTGTCGCGATTTCGTCAAGTGATGTGAAATTGACTGACAATAAGTATGACGGTATAGTCATGGCACTCTCCCCATATCTGTTTGAGAATAATGTCACCGTGAACGAAGGTATTGGGAACATCATTAATAAGATTCAGGTAGTTTTAAACATTATTTAAATTTAATATTTTATTTTATTTAACATAACTAAGCTCATTGTATAAGTCTTATCTAACTCAAGTTTGTTGGTATGATAATATTAAGTTGTTATTTCATTCTAAATACGAAACCAATATTTTGAATTTAAAAAAATAGCACTCGTTAATGACCACGCTCTTTGAAATTTCGACTTTCTGCTTGAAATATTAATTTTACAATAACACACTTCTTACAATGTGAATTGGAGGTTTCCAGAATTGATTCAACAATATGTTTCGAGTGGCATCAAATGGGAGGTGAGTAAGGCGTGTACAAAGGGAGACAAACAGGGTTATGTCCCCCCCCCCCAATACGCACTCGATGATCCAGAATGTAATGCTGTATATTTCTCGGTGATGCCTGTGTATTACGCATGTGTGTTTAATATACTCCCTCCCTCAGTAACGGCCAAATTTATATTCCTACGCACGGCTCGGCAGGTGGGACACTTAACAGCTATCATCTTTGTTCTTGGCAGGCGTAAAAGATAAATACATAGGTGATAGACGAAAAACGGAAAACACGTGATATATCCTGAATAATGAACTGTAATGTTATGTACATTAAGAATTTAAAGTAAAACCATACCTTATTTATTGTAATTCATATATTTCAAAATAATTGAAATTCATAGAAATATGTTTTTCCTAAGAATATTATTCATTTACAAGAGTGATGCCTTAATGAAAATGTCTTGAAAGAACAAGAAGATAACATAGAAATATGTTTTTCCTAAGACTATTATTCATTTACAAGAGTGATGCCTTAATGAAAATGTCTTGAAAGAACAAGAAGATAACATAGAAATATGTTTTTCCTAAGACTATTATTCATTTACAAGAGTGATGCCTTAATGAAAATGTCTTGAAAGAACAAGAAGATAACGGCTAACAGATGAAATACATCTTCATACTTTTTAATTTTTATCTGTTCTTCTAGCCCCCCAGTAGCACAGGTCTGCGGACTTACAACGCTAGAAACCGCGTTTCGATACCTGTGGTGGGTAGAGCACAGAAAGCCCATTGTGAAGCTTTGTACTTAACTACAAACAAACAAACTGTTATTCTATTTTAAAATTGTCTATATTCAATGTTGCTTGCTTGCTTGTTTATAGCAAAGCTACTAAGTCTATTTGTCGCCGACTATCTAATTTTGAACTACTGATCACAGGAAAGGCAACCGGTTGGCATCATCCACCGCCAACTCTTGAGCTACTCTTCCACAACGAATAGTGGGATTTATCACCACATTATAACGCCCCTATGGCTGAAAGGGCAAGCATGTTTACTCAGGTTTCAATCCAGCAAGCAGCAGATTGTGAGTTGAGCACCCTCAACTCTAAGCTATTCGGTGTTATATCTGATATGAGGATTTGAATCTAACAGCCTCTATTTCTTATTTTGTTTATAGTGAATAAAATATGCAACAGGTATTGAAAAGGAAGCGAAAGTTTTCCCATAAATTGTACACGAATAAACTACAGCCGACGAATGATCATATAAATTGATCAATATATGCCCTTTGTTAGCGACATCATCTGTGTATGTTAGGCGTGTTTCCACTATAGTTTTCATGCAATACAACTACAAAATGGCGATTGAAAGCGCCATTAGTTTGAACAACGTGCTGTAAGGACTGGAACTGAGGAATTTAGAGAGCGGTCTTTCCGTATATTAAGAAATTAAATTATGTTTAGAAATGATGACTAGTTGTTTACGACTTGTACTTTGTTGCTTATATTCTTACACGATTAGCTTGAGGATTTACAGTGCTAAGGTATAGGGTACGATCCCTGTAGGTGGCAACGTACTATGTAGTTTGGTGCATAACAGCAAACAAGCAAAGCTAGTAAGTTTAGTTTTTTATTTTAGAATTAATGTTGTCTATAACAAGTAATGCATTAGTTAAAGGCATCCATCGAAAGTCGACATAAGCTTTAGTTTACGGATTTTTTCTTTTTTATACGTTGTATTTCAATTTCATCGAACAATGAATAATTGTACGGTGCCATCCCTAGTAGTATCATGTAAAAACAAAATGCATTGCTTAAAACAACTAAGGAATCAACAGAGTTTTCGATATTTTGACCGTGAAATTATCAAATGTATTTGTATATCAGATCACATGAGTTATCACCTTGTACCTGTTTTGCATAAAAAATAATTGGGGATACCATTGATATGACTTAATATCTAGTTGTCTCTTGTCATAGTTGGAAAATAGAATCTTTGATTTTTCGTTAGAAATTGTTATTTCGCAGTTAAGTAAGTATTATTGGCAGTATAAACAACTTAAGCGGTGGTATGTGAAATGATCCCTGGTGGGTCTTTGGTAACTTTACGACTTACAAAGCTAAAATACAGGGTTCGAAAGAAAGCAGATAGTCTATTGTGCAGTTTTTTGATAAAAACAACAATAAAAGCATCTACAGCGCATCTCAAGAGAAATCAATCAAGCAGGTAAAAAGGACGACAGTGCCAAAACTAATGTCATACCAGCAGCCCATTACAATGTCCATGCGAAGGCTCATTGTCAGATTTCAAATTGAAGAAACGGGTTATGAGTATCAAATTCGACAGTTTTTCAGAACTCTAGCTTTAATTTTCCATGACTATTAAAATTCAGTTAAAGTTAAAAAAGCGGAGTCATTAGTGTCTGATAAATCATTTCCTTAAGGCGACACCTATGCTGTAGCATTGAGAAATTTCATCACAACATTGCGTGCTCTTTCAGACAAATAACTTTAAATCATTAAAGAAAATTAAAGTATCATATGTTTTCTGCTTAAATAATCTAAGAAATGTAGCTAATAGATAACATAAAATTTTTGTTTGTTATTAAGCACAAAGCTATATAATGGGATGTCCGACTTTTGGTGCTATAAACCCTCAAACTTGCCGCTAAGCCACCGGGGAGAGAGGACATAGATTGTGTTGAAATTTTCAATTTTACTAATAGGAATAAATTTTGAAGTTCTGATAAAATAATAATGCATACTTTAACTTGTTTGTGATCAAATTTTATGGGTCAGTTAAAGTAACTTAGGTAAATTAATTTTTTTGGAAGCATGCAATAACCAATTGGACCACTTTACAAGGTACCGTAAGTTTTCTTCTTCAAATTTTGATATCATTTTGTGTAGGTTTTTCTCAATGTAGGATCAGAAAGCTTATTTGAGGTAACAAGAAAGAAAGCTTATTTAGGGAAAGTTACAATCTTGATTCCCAAATCCTGGAAACCGAGCTCAGACGATTGGAACTTTCTACCAGGAGTGAAAGTAAATCCACCTGAAACGGAGTTGTATCAGCTGGCGGATATTTTCATCGAACCGAAAGGAGGTGTGTCTGGAGACATGCCTTATACTCTTCAATACAGTGGTTGTGGCATACCAGGAAAATATATACAGATTACAAAGGCTTACCTGTCAGAACTAAAACCTGTCATCGCAAATCACCCAAAGTTTAAATCAGGAGGTATAAGTATCAAGTTTATTGTTTTTCTAAATAACTTATTTTTATCTAACTGCATTTTACACTTTTACATGTCAAATTCATTTGAAATGAATATGACGTGTCACGAACTGCATTTACAGGTTTTGATCTAAAAATAAAATATCAGAGAATTTTAAAATAATTGAAAAACAGAAAACAATTTATACTTGCTGAATATATAGCCACTTTAACATTTTCACAATTTTTCAAGATATTTGGTTTTATAACCTGCAAAGGGGATAATAAAATATCATTTTTATGAAATTGCTTGTTCAGTGTGTTTTTCTAACATTTTCTTTATCACTTTAATTGGCATTTAAATTCGTATCAAAAATTGTCTTTCACTTTCTATAATTCTTCTTTCATTTTGGATGTGGTGCAAATACAATGTGCCATATTTTACATCTCACAAATAACTCCACTTGTTTGGTTGATATCATGTACTGAGCTCGAGTTTAGATAATTTCTAGTTTAACATGATTTTCAGATAGATTGTCGTTGTGATTTTAAAAATGTTCTTTCTACATACTGAGATGTTCGCCCTATAATGGTATAATTAAATGAGGTTGTGAAACTTAAAATAGAAAACTGGCATAATGTTGAACAACTCATTTATCACATATTTTTGTGAGAGTTTCTATCGATGGGAGGGTTCTTCTTGGTTATTCGATAATATAAAGTCCAGTCCACTTAACGATAAGGAAAGAGATTCATTTCTTCGACAGTAATGTACAAGATTTCTAACGGTACAAGGAACCTTCATTGATACCTCATAAATAAAACTGAACACACTTGTTAAATTTGTTCTCATCTCTACAGCACAAACTCGACATAAATGCATAACACTGATCAAATTAACTAACTCACTACCTGTTTAACTGGCTAACTCATAAAATGACTGACAATTTAATACACTGTCTGAATAACTCCCTCTGGTTACAGGGTTTGAAAACTTTGGCTTCAGATTCGTTGCTTGTGGTCGTTTTAGTTAATTTTACAACAATAGATACATAATATACATAAAATTACATTTTTTGTTCGTGAGAATATTTTATGTTTTAAGTTGAATATTTAGAAAAAAATTATATTCCGGTATATCAACATTCTTATCCATGCGTCAATATATGACAAAATACTTTGCAGGTATGGCGTACTGGCACTGAAATTCTTAGCGGAACGCCATACTGAACTGTACCAGCTAAATTTCACAATGACCTACCACAATGTGTTGTGAAATTGTTGAATAGTTTAAATACAACACAATTAACTAAGTGTGTGTACTGTTTTTAATGCCTCATATGCGATTTGAAAAATCGCTTCAGCACCATAAAAATCGTATAACTTAACAGTAATAACCGTTTAGACAATCTCTTTGTATAGAAGGTAAGTTATTTTAATAATGCATTTATATATGTGTATATTTTCAGGCCAACATTTGTGCGTCAGTGGGCGAAGTACCGCTATGGCGTATTCGACGAAACTGGCTATGCAAATGATAATATGTACCCATTGTATTATGGAATTCCCGGAGAGGGAGAATCTGTACACATCACGTCCTGTGCGAACTCTAATGTCTCGTACAAAATTCAGTAAGTATATACGTTGATGATTTTTGATTTAGGTTGAATTGCATATGACTACACCAAAGTAATAATTATTATTATTAAAATAATATCATCGAATGGCATTTGGTGTAACTTAAGTTTCGATATGCTGGTTTTGGAATTATAACTTCTCTGGTATTCTTTTGGTGTCGTTAGTATAACTTCTTTGTTGGAAAGGCATTAAACGGATTAATCGTTCTTGCTGCGACCAGAACTTCGATGTTTATTTATTTTACAGAACATGTTATTTAGGACAACTGTTTGTTTGTTTTAGCACAGTGCACCATGAGGAATTGAACCCAGGACTTAAGCGTTGTGAGCTCATAAACTTGTAGCTAACCCACCAATCATTTAGAACATTTAAAGAAAAAATATTATTGTGGAAATTGTTTTCATAAACTTTCATGTGCATGGCATTTAATTTTCATTTTTATTAGAACTTAAGAAAGAAGAGTTATAGTATTACGAGCGAGAGGGGGGGGCTTTCCCCAGTCGTAGCATGCCTTGCTGTGAATCCAATGATTTATTATTATTATTAACTTTTCGTTGCCGGAAAACTCGATCCGTACATAGTCGTGTGTGACATGTGTTATTAGCTTTTCTGTAGTTTTGCGCAAAATTTCCAAAAGAAACAACTAAATTTCATCAAAATGTTTCTAATTAGCAGCGTACATGCAGCTATCCTAGGACCCCCCGCGCCCAGCCAAACCCAACTTATGATAGATGCACTTGTGATATATTAAAAATGGATTATACTTTGTTCCCAGAGGTTCATATGAAGAGTCCTTGTCCCAACACGCAAATACCCACTTTCAAGGTTCACAAGACCCAAGAACCCGCTTGATATACAGTTGCAACTCGTAAAAGGCACATTCGTCAACAAGGCTGGCGAGGAAATCTTTGAGGCTCCCAACGAATTAACAACCAGATGCCCCATAGTCCCCCCTTGACGTAATATTACATAAAACATTAGGAAACATGGTTTCATTTACGTTATAATGCCATGAATTTTTTATAGCAATAGTAGACTTGGAATGTTGCGGAAGGTAAAAATATTCTTGCATAAAAGGTCTTCATACGACTACTAAACCATTGATTCTAATTAGGACTTTTCATTTTCAGTATACACATATTGGAGTGTAATGAAGATATATCTTTAATTTGTAATTTCTTAGTTTTCAACAAGAAACGAATAACTGTAATATTATTATTTTACGGGAATAGTTTTACAATTCCCAAACAATTATATGGTTTAACAATATGTTATGTAACCTATACAAGTCAAATATTTTTTCAAGACCATAACATAAGAAATCATCAATATTACATAGAAACCATAAAAACTAAACTTCTAAAAAAATCTACGCTAAATAATACTGACTGTGGGTAAAGAATATCTCTTCTAAATACTTATCAAGGTGACTGTTGTAGGCCATGAATTTAGCATTTTAATTTAGATACTTTATTTGACAGAAGGAGTTTTTGATATGACATGACGATTATGTGTGATGTCTACAAGTTTCGGAATATGTGGACCTGACTGACGTCTTGAATTTTCGGAAGTTTTTGTGGAAAAAAAGTATTGTGACATAAATATAAGACCGAATTAATCAGCGAATTACTTATTCAGTCAATAAACCAGCGGTCAGTTATTGAATGTGATATTGTGTTATCGATCGATTACTGAATGTATTAGTCAATCAGTTCTGAATTGTATGGTAGGTACGATAAGAAATTTAACAAGTGACTGTTTAGTGTTGTATGTGGGATAAGCCTATGAACAAATGTACCCAATCAAACTTGTACAATACAGTTGAAGAAATAAACCACTTTAATTAGTTGTCGTTAAGGAAATTGTACGTTGCATTATGTTTCAGAATAATCAAAATGACCCGTCAACTTACAAACTGTTATAACACTGGTGTAAGTTGTATGGGTCATTTTGGTATAAGTAAACTAGAATGAAGATCAACTTAAAGATGACATGTGCTCGAAGTGAGATCAAAATTTGGTGGAAATAACGAAACGTAAAGAAAAGAATAAGCAGAAAAAAAGTGACAGAATAAATAGTAGATATAGAAGAAAGAAACAGAAAATTGAAAGAATATGAATAACAAAGAGGCATAACATTACAAGAAAAACAAGATGATAGAGACAGAAAATTACAAGAAGAACAAGAAGAGAGAGAGGCAGAAAATTAAAGGAAGGCCAAGGATAAAATTGTAGAGAATCTATATATGGTCAAAACGTAAGATTCGGGTCTTTGGTAGAGGAATTAAAAGAAAAAGACTTAAAATTAAAAGAAGAATTAATGTAGAAATTAAATCAATGGCAGAATAAAACATCTGGAAAATAAATTTGTGGGTGCAATTGCTAATCCAGTTACATTTCTCTCTAAAACACCATTTCCTAAAAATAAGGGGGGGGGGGTGAGAACCCATTTAATGTACACCTATTATCACTACCGTTGTACGATCTATGACCACAGAATTTTCCTGGACTACCTATGTTATTACTTAATCCAGTTTTAATATTTAGCTGGAATATTTCACAACATTGCTCAACTGATAAACCAATAGTTTATGACGAGAAAATACTGTTGAAGGCATATTAGACTCAGTTCGAAATTGATTTTAAAGAGAATGGATGGAATATTGTATAACGTCTCTATCATCTTGATGCCCTTTTAAAAAAACCAGCTTTAGCAAGATTAAGTAATTTTCACGCTAAGAGCGTAACAACTATGAGTCATTGCTGGCTTCTATATCATCATATTTTAAGTGTCACACGAGAAAGGAGTATCAAAAACACAGTTAGGAGAAGATGAAAGATGAGATCTAATCAGAATTTGCAGAAAAGGCTTGGTTAATTATTTTACCCTGATATGTGGATTTATTGACACTTGACTAATTCATAGATGGTATAGTGGATAAAATATGAGGATTTGCCTAAAGCAAAATAGCTGTATTTCTTTAAATGGAGCTCTTGAATTAGCATGAAATTTGAATCCATTAGGCGCAGATAAACAACTAAAGGTACCACACAGAAATTACTAGATTAACAGTAAACGCCAACTCTCTGACAGGATTCATTAGACAACTAGTTAAAAAGAATGGAAGAAGTATAACCAAACGACAATAGGTCTTTCAGCTGTAACTTAAATTGGGCATATTGCAAAATCTTGTGGGGAGTGAAAAATACCACAAAGGTTGCCAGAAAAAAAAAGAACTGTTATAAGTGTGGGAACATGCACATTACAGCTGAGACTGAAAGTAATTAGTTGTTGATAATAAACCTAGAAAAATTACAGATATCCCAGTAGAAATATGATAATATTTAAATATAAATAATGTAATATTTAAAGCGACCACTACACCAGTTAACGGAAATATTTATGTGAATCCTTGCAGTATGTGAATGAACACTGGTTCCACGGCTACAATTTTTGACCTGATTTGGTAATGAGAGGTGGGAAGTTACCTAGAGAGGATTTGGTTTGTTTTGAATTCCGCGCAAAGCTGCACGAGAGCTACTTGCATTAGCTGTCCTTGCTTTAGCAGTGATAGAATAGAAGGAAGGAAGCTAGTTAACACCACCCACCGCCAACTACTGGACTACTCTTTTACCAACTAATGGTGGGATTAACCGTCACATTATAACGCCCCCGGCTGAAAGAGCAAGCAAGTTCAGTGACGGGGATTCGAATCCTCCACCCTCAGATTTCTAGTCGATTGCCTTAATCACCAGCCCATGGTAGCCCCTCCAGAGATGAAGCAAGAAGACGGATTGGTGCGAACAGCAAGCAGTCATATAGTTCAGGAAAAGGAAAGTTGGAAATTTCTCTCACCATAAGAACATTTCTACATATTATAGTGTATGGGTGACTGACATAGATGGAAAGTGGATATGACAACATGTGGAGACATTAATGTGATGTTAAATTAGTTCCAAATACCTTTACAGCCTACGACCAGAAAATACTATCGCACTATACCACAGTTACATCACCAGATGAGCATAGACATAACGAAGACAGTCGACCTGGAGTACATCTGAGCAGAATCTAGAAGAGTAGTTGGTCCAAGTCAAAAGTCATCTGTTATGATTGCCTTTGGAAGGATGTTAACAGGGGCCTGGCATGGTCTAGTGTTGAAGGCGCGAACATGCTAGCCCTTTCAGGCATGGGGGTTTATAACGTGACGGCCAATTCTACTATTTTGGTAAAAGAGTAGCCCAAGAGTTGGCGGTGGATGGTGTTTATTAGCTGCCTTCCCTCCAGTCCAATGTTTTCCCAACTATGGGGCGCAGTCTTTTAGCGGGAAATCCCAAACTAACGTCAGAAGAAACAGAAGGGTTAGGAACGACGATAACCTAACAAAACTATCACTTTGCTCTCAGTGCTTATCTTTTTTGTTCTCTCATTTACTCACCACTTACAAGCATTTTTAATTACAAAATATTAAAAACAGGTAAAGAAAATGTTGGTTTTGCTGTTTCATTTGCGAAAATTATTTTAATGTGAAGGGGGGGGAGCAACGGAAACTTTGCTGAGTTAGGGGTCGCCGCTATATAAAGTTTGGAAAATACTGCTATAGCCTATCACTACTAAAATATGGATGACTAGCGGAGATAGCCCTCTAGTAGCTTTGCGCGAAATTCAAAATAGACAAAATAAATCAGACATCAAAGCAACCAACTGGTCAGCTTCATCAAAGACTTTGTTAAAGATAAGTTAACCTGCTGGAGAGCTCGAGGTTTTGTCCAGACCACTTCTAGTGTGTCAACAACTATGGAGCAACCATTGGAATCCCTCAATCATCTACTTGAAGAGAATTCCCCCAGTGATAAGACACTAAGTGACAACAATATATAAGAGGTCACCCCATCTTTGTACCACAAGCCACTGAAAAGAAAATTACCAAAACGATTTAGTGAATTAACTGGTTAGGGACAGTAATTAAGATTGTATGTTTGTTTTTAATTAAACACAAAGCTACACAATAGGCTATCTGCGCTCTGCCCACCACGGGTATCGAAACCCGTGGTTCTAGCGTTCTAACTCCGCAGACATACCGCTGTGCCACTGGGGGACAGTAATTAAAATAAAAAAGATTTTGTTCTGTTATTTAGAATTGTGATTGTACTTGGTTTAACATATTTAATTAATGATTTAGGGATTTTAATGTATATTTATGAGTAGTAATTTTTATCAATTGTGAATAGTGACTTTATTACTAATTATATACTTTTAACTTCAATATATTATCGTTTTACTTGTTTATTCCCGTTGTTCAGAGAGAAAACAGTGTTGTAGGCAGTGTTCTAATATATAAAGTTAGTTATTTTGTTTACCAGAGAGAGAGAGTTTGACATGACGTAATGATATTGTTATTGTGGTATCCATGGAATACTGAATGCATTAGTCAACCAGATTTCTGTTGTGTGTTATAGATAAGAGAGGAAATTTAACAAGTAAGTAGCTGTTTAGTTTTATTTGTGTGTTAGGCCTAATAACACACGTAGCTCGTAAAATGTGTACGTTAAAGTCGAAAAAATAAATTGTTTTCGTCAGTTTAAGTGAACTGTAAATTGAATTATTTTTTATCGATTAATCAAAAACAACTCGCCATGATAACAGTTACAACATAACGTTTGAAAGTTTCGCTTTGTCTGATATGTTTTTACTTATTTCCTATGCGTTTGAACTAGTAGTGACTATGATATTCACATTTACATATTATGCTATTATTTGGAATTAAAACAACCTTTGTTAAAACATCTCAGATAAATTTACCGAGAACTAAGGGAATCGTCAACAGAGGCTACTTACACAATGGTAGCAAAAATAGGAAAAAAATTATCGTAATAGTCTGAACCTATAAATTTCGAAATAATGCAGTAGCATGAGGACCTTAACCGCCTATTAGATATACGTTAAAGTAATGTTTACAGTGTTACGTCTACACTAAATTATAATATCTTATCTCAATGTCACAGTTCAGGATTGTTACTGAAATAGGTGTCACAATCTACTCGTTTTATCATCTAAAGTTTCTAAACTGAAAGCGTACTGATACTGAGTGATGAGATATTAGTTTCTTCTGTGTCTTTTTTTTTCTTCCATTCATTTATTCACAAAAAACAATGTGATTACTATTAAAAAGTTATTTCAACTCTGTTTATCCACTCCACAGACTAATACTTGTATCATAACTTTTAAGGATAACTTTATCATAATATTCTTTGACTGATACAAGTATCAAGACTTTTTTTCTGATGGTTCGCGTTTTTTTTCGAATTATCAACCTTTGAATTATACTGTTATTTCCTCGTAGTAAGCGGAATAAAACAGTGGAGATTAGGATTTTTAGAACACCGTCATTCTCAACAGAGAAAAGTCTAGGTAGTAGTGTATGTTATATCTTCTTCATCATCGAACCAGAAATTCGTTTGTCAAACTCCAGTGAATACTTGGTGAATTGGGTAAAACAGAACAATAGCGACTGATTATACATACGGCTGAGAAGTATTTACACTAATGCTTAAGTTAATTCATAACATACGATCGCAATAATTTACTTTTAATATTATCTGTATATATATATATATATTTATCACATAGTTGTATTGTATTTTCAGGGATTCAAATGCAGAGGAATGTAAACCTTCCGTGGATCCAAACAATGGACGACCCATTGGTAACCAGTGCTTTCACAAACCAAATGAAGAAAATGAAAATGTGCTGTCTTCCATCATGTATTACTATCTTTTACCTAACGTATGTATTCTTTTACACCAACCTTTACTATTGATCTATCTTCTGATCTAAAATACAAAATATCAGTCAACAATATATCAGTATTAGTAACTTGCTAAACCTCTCTCGATTTTTAGTGGTATTGCTTCCTTAACATTGTTACTAACATTTTCGCCCCATAGTCCAAAAGAATCTTTTTTAAAAGAGTTTACAGTTCATTAGGATATATATATATATATTGGTGTATGGTGTTGTTTTCTAAATTAGCTTCTTCAGATAGTTCTCAAATATATAATTTCAAAGAAATGAAAGTAACAACACCTTTTAACAATACTTTTTCTTTCTCTCTTTCTTCCTCTTTAATGTTCCAATGGCTCAGCGGTATGTCTGCGGATTTACAACGCTAGAAGCCTGATTCCGATAACCGTTGTGGGCAGAGTACAGCTAGCCCATTGTGTAGTTTTGTGCTTAACTACAAACAAATCATCTTTAATTATTTTTCACTAGATATTTCACTGTGCTGAATAATTATAACTGTTTGAGGGATCCCTCATTGTAAATGGTTTAATACAGATTTATTGCAATGTTTCACTATGTTTATTGCTCACTATCATTGTGACGTACGCGTGTTTCACATAACGAATAAGAAACAAATATGTTAAATGCATTATTGAATAAGATAACGTTTTCAACCTAGGTTACTCAATAATCCATAATCGAAAACATTTTTAGTATAGTTGTAGTTATAATACTAGTTAAAATTTAATCATTTTATTGTTTTACAATATGTTGCTTCAGTTTATAAGTATATTTTTTATAAGAAATGCTATAAAGTGATACTTTAATGCAAAAAGGAGATTTAATTTTATAATTTAATTTAATAATTAATATCAGGTTTAGTTTTTTTTGTTGTTTAAATAAGAGCTCCGTTCCTTCACAAAACATCTAGAAGAAATATTGATAGAATAAAGCCACTCAGCATATTTAAAATCTACAGTACACAGGTCATGGAGGAAACAAAATGGTTGAATTTGCATAATTGAGAAAAATCAATGTTGAACCAAGCTGTTATTCTAATGACACTAAGTAATATATTTAGAACAAATTATTATCTTATTGGTCAGAAGTATTTGTCGATTTATTGATTTATCTTAATTGTTTCTTCCCACGTTTAGCGGGAAAATGTTTGCTTAGTATTGACATCCATATTTATGACCCACACTTTAAAATTAGGCTGAATTTTTGGCCAGAAGCAGATACTTTCCTAAATAATACTTCTTTTGACAAACAAAGTGATGTGAATGCATCAACTCTTTGTCAAAAGAAATATTTGTTTCCGTTTATAAACTGTTTGATATTTATAAAGCTTTGCACAAGTAATCCCTTATGAAATGTATTTATTAAGTTATACTGTTTCGTAGCAAATTCTCTGTCATTTACCTATTTTGGCCTATATTAATGACACTTTCTATGACTTGATCATAATTTGTGACATTTATTTAACTGTGATAATAAAATTATTCTTAAATAAAACATATTTTCCCAAATTAAAAATTATGTTACTTTAATATTACTTTTCAATCAAGTAAACTCATTTTTATGAACCATGCTAACTTTTATTATTCGTTGCAATAAATCATAGAAAAGTTCATAAAAAGACAAGTATACGAATCAGTATGGATTTTATTGACCAATAATAGTTACCCTGGGAGTTCAGACGTGCGCGCTGATTGACTGCCTTGTGTGGGGGTGGGGGGTGGTGGAGGGGGGCAGAGACGATGATGTCACCAAAGACGATGACATCGTAGTTCCAAAAGTGTCACTAGAGGGTGCATTGCTAGGCCACCATAACAGGTGGCTAGAACAGACGATTACATAATGTTTCAATGACCAAACTGAACTTTCAATTCTATCAGTCCCCTATCTTCTTAGTTGAGTCCCCCAGTGGCATAGCGGTATGTCTCCGGAGTTACAATGCTAGAAACCGGGTTTCGATGCCCGTGGTGGGCAGAGCACAGATAGCTCATTGTGCAGCTTTGTGCTTAACTTCAAACAAACAAACAATCTTTTTAGTTGAAGGTTGGTTGAAGCATGGACAATAATGATGTCAGTACTCCATAATGGTTTTGTGTAATGTAGAAGAAAGTTTTACATGTGATCTATCTAGTTATTGATGATGAATTGAGACAATGAGCTCATCATCCTCCATTTATAGAATCATTGTCTGTATGTGTGTGATCACGTGACGACCTTCGTAATTCCTAACAAAGTGATGTCAATATCCAGATTGTATGTATGTGATTTCCTAATAGTGTCTTAGCACATGGACTCGGTCAATTTGACCGACCAAGTGACTTCTTTGTACTTGGTTAAAGTCTTAATAGATTTGATACTTATGACTTTTAATATAGTGTGTATATCTTCACGAAATGTGGCAGTCTTTCAGTAAACATTATAAGTCTTTCACACACAAAAACATATTTTAGTGAAGTATTTGTTTTGAATAATCTGTGTGCAAAGTGATTTTCACGTAAAGATTAAAAATAATTTTCTGCATCTCATCAAAAATCTAAGATTTGATTTGTGTATTCCCTAAAACCTTCTAAATACATTTCAAATATTTGTTTTCACTAAAACTTTATATTTTATCTGTTATTTTCTCTATCATAACTCTATAGAACATTGGTCAATTTGACCGACCTCGTAACCACCAAAAAAAAAACCTTAACCGTAACTAACCTAAAGAGATACCTATTTTTACATTTTAGTGATTTTTATAATGATAAATAAAGAATGCACATGAAAAACAAGTAATAAAATACTTGTCTGGGCCTTCTATTTTTGTTGTCAACGATACTTAAGCCCACTTTTATATACTAACGGTAGTAGTGCACTAGCTAATTTTTTTAAAATTAAATAATGCCCAAAGAACATAGAATAATAACATACAAAAAATGGATAATTTCTCCTAACTCTCACAATTTTACTGGCTTTCTAACTATGCGACAAGAGCCATTACAAATTCATCCAAGCTAGTTGTTATCTTTCCCATGGGGATGAAGCTTTTATTAACAGTGAAATTGACAATTCTCTATTCAGAAAACAAAGGTATATGTTATTTAATAGATAAAAACCTTGGCTTTCTATTGGCTATAGACAATATAAAATTAAATGTAAGCGAGAACTATTAACAAATCCTAAAGAGAGGATGTGACAAGTGAGTGTAGCAAGAGGTGTCTGATTTTCTATTTGATAGCTCTGTAACTAACAAAATTGAAGGCTATAAAAATTATGGTTTATCTGAGCAATTACAATTTTTTGGTGAGTAATTTTCTTTAAATTCCGTGCTTATTGAAAGAGTTGTGGATAGATAGAGAACAGGAGATGCCTAGGGAAAAATGTCGCATTTCTCACACTAAGGCCAATTCAGGATTTTTTTTACTATTGCCTTATAAAATTAAGAATTTAAAACTTATATACTATTAAGATATGGATTATTAGCTATGAATTTATGCTATACTAACTGGTATAACATAAACAAAACGTAGTTTGATTAAAATTTGAATGTAAGTTATTAAAAACCAATGACATGCGCAGTAAAGGATGCCTGTGGCAGGGGGTTAACACGAAAATCACCTTGCACTTAGACTATTTAACACTCTGACTCCATATATTCAGGGACAAATCTTTAGTAAACAATTAATTAAAAAATCTGATTTTGTTTGGTTAGAAGAAGATTTGTAATGTTTACTAAAAGCTTACCAAATTTTATGACAATACACAAACTATAAAGTTATAGTATGGATACTTTCATGGTTACAAGGTTGATCAAAATAGCTAAGCCCATATTAAGAGAGTTTTAAGCACATAGCTACACAATGGACTATTTGTGCTGTGTCCACCTCAAATACTAAAACATTTTTTGCATTATAAGCCCTTATATACCTGCTACTGAGCCATTGGGGAGCAAGCTAAGAAACTTAAAAAATATTAGAAAAAAAATTCTTGAATTTCTACCAATAAGAAAACAAATTAACTATTAAATCAGCTCTAACAATAGAAAATGCTTAGCAAACTTAAAATCAGATAAAATATCAATTTTAAATACTTTTTAAACTGCTATAAAAACCATGATACAAAATATCTGCTAACTAACATTATGTTCCATCTTAAAACACTTTCACCATAGTAATAACGTTTACTTTGATAACCTATTGAACAAAAACAACTGTCCATTTCTAAATGTAATATTTTTGCTGCATACATACGCAAATTTCTTTACTATTTGAAAACTAACCTTATTTCTTTATGTTTAATAGTTTCATTATAAAAATCAGCAAAGTTTCTAAACATTTTTCCTATAAAATTTACTAAGGTTCTGAAATGAATTGAATGTATTATATTGAACAAAGGAAGAACATGTGGCTGATGTAGTGTGATTAAGATATTATTATTATTAATTTCCTATCATAAGCTCTAAAGAATACACAAATGAGAATTTCAAGATTGCACTCTTTAACTTCCTTGCTTTCTTTTAATATAATAAGAAAGCTAAAAAAATCTGCCAAAAAAAGAATGGTGAAACTTTGCAAAAATAACATTAACAGCTAAGCTGAAGTGACTAATATCTTTGGTTCGACATTCAGAAATTTCTGAAATCTTCATACACATACTGTGCTCTGCAACACGTACATCATGATAGACAGAGATGAGTTTAAGGTAGGTAAAACATTTGAAATTTTTGAGAAGATAATTTTTATATGTCTCCTTATTGTCAAATGAACAATAATTAATTAGTTCATTTACCTTTTCTAAGGGTCTGTACTAGTCCTCACTGATCCACGGTACTGTAGCCTATACAAGAACAGGAGATGATGAATCAAACAGTTTCAAATCTACAAAGTAATCTCTGTTAATCTGTAAATAAAAACTGTCGCTTAAACTCTTACAACAACTAGCACTCCAGGTACAAATTGTCCATACACCCTATGTTATGTCACATACAAAATCAGTATGAATGTTTGAAAAGCTAGTATAAAATATATATATATATATAACATAACATAGCATTCTGGGACAACATGGAACCAATTTAAGTACAATTTACATATAAATGGTAGGAAATGTAATTAACCATTGAATTTGTGTTTGATATCAACTGTATTAATTACAGTCATGTTAAGACATGTTGATAAATTTCTGCTGGCCCCCCATTTCGTGGAACTATAGCATCATGACCGCAAGTCATGGCAGCCTAGCAACGTGTCCCTAGCAAAGCGACATCTGGTGGAAGTATGACGTTATCATCCCCTTGAAATGTGGCGCCCTCTGACGGTGTGGCTGGCAAGTGACTCTATAACTACTACCGAGATATAACTTTCATTAAGATAAAGTGTAATACGCATTTTTATTAAATAATGATTTTCCTCAAGATAAATTATTACTTTAAACGATAATTAATAAGTAAGAAAAATTATTTTCATAAACATAGGTCATAATTGTTTATAGGGAAAATTAACTAAGCTACTTTGCTATTTTATCATTACAGATAATCTAACTTAATAAATTATGCAAAGCACGATACATTTCTTTAGAATTTTAATAAGTCCTGCTATCAGTCATATGTATTACCAAAATGAAAAACATTTATGAAATGTAATAAATAATAATTTCCATAAACATTTACTAAGTGTTATAAAATCAGACGAAAAATGTAAATCTGTAATATTTTCCATTTAAGGCAAACAATTTCTGCGACAATGGAGACAATGCTCATAACGATAAAGCTCCGACAAAACAGAACGTTCTTTGTTTTGGTAAAAGCACTTGGGAAGTTGTAGAACAAAACACGGACTTTAAGTAAGTGAATATTTGTCATTCGTTTTTGTTATTTCAGAGAAGGAAATCAGGAAAATTTATATTAAAACAAATTTGTCTAAACAAAATTCTGAGATCCTTGAATCAAATTAAGATTTTATGTTATTGCTGTTAACGCAAATTTTATTTTTCCGTGTCAATATCTATCAAGCTTTTAATATAAAGTCCAACTCTATTAAACTTAACACCCATTTCTAATTTTGTCCACACTTCAAATTTTTAAAAAGTCCAATTATATATTTTTTGGAAATTACACAGGAATGGTCATAATGGATGCAGTAACTACTACTATCGATTAGGCTCGAGTAGATCACTCCTCTTATATATATCTACACACATATATATTTCATATTTTAGATACACATATATATACATATGTACCATTTACACACCAGATTAAAGTAGATTTGCAGCAGTAGTCTGACTTAAGAGATATTTATAATATTACGCTTCTCGGAAGTTTCATAAATTATGAAAAATTTAAAGACGTGTATTTGGTTTAAAACTAAGAAAGTTTTAGAAAAATAGAATCTATCTGAATCTTGCAGTTAGCTACGGTAATTGTGACTAAGAATATCACAATATAAGCTATAAGCCACATTAAACCTACTGCAAGTCCTTTAAGCAACTCTTACCCAAATCGTAATTTTTGAATTGCTTTAAATTTATCCGATTGTGTGCCTCGCGTATTCTGAATTTTGTCGTTTAAATGTGATTTGAGAACCCATGTGGGGAGGTTTATGCAACACTAATCCTCTTACCTCTTATCACTACCTCCAAAGCGGAAGCAAGAGTTTGTGCAATTTTTCAGAAACCAAAGTTACATAGTACCAATAGGATACAAGTTTTTGAGGGCTGTTTGTGTGTAAGGTTTATCAATTTGCCTCAGCTGTTTAATATCTCTGCAGTATATATCAAAACTTTTGGTAACGGAAAATTCCATATACAGGTTCTGTACTATGAAGAATAGAATACAATTAACGATTGAATTTTTCGATAATAAACTATTATTATTTTTTTGCTAATTTACTTATAAAAGTTTAATGTACAGTATAACTTATTTTGCTCTTTTTTGGATGATAATAAAACAAAACCTACAATAATATAATAATATTCTTTGAAACAATGTTCTCGAGTACAAATTAACATTTTCCGAAATGTTTTTAATTACCGACTGCTGTTTCATGCTTACGTGAAACATGCGATCATACTTCGAATTGAACGCCACTTTGGAACTTGTATGAGGTAAACCTGTTAATATGCTCACACAAACACACACATGCACATATAATAATAAAATTAATTAAATAAGAAATTTTGGACATCACTTCTCTTCAGTTATTCGCATAGTTCCAGTAGTTTAAAAATGATAACATTCCTAAAACAAATTAAAAAGATACAGCTTGTCTTCTGTATTGTTGCTTCGTGTATTTTGTAATTTTTGTAACGAATGCAGTTGTATTATATCTGCTGAAGCTATGCGAGTAATTGAATGGTATTGGTGCCTAAAATGTTATATTTAAGTAAAATAGTTTATTTTTATTTTTGAATGCTTATTGGTTATTTTGCAATTTTACCGACATTTTTTCATAAAAGTAAAAAGTTTGAAGTTTGTGGGATAATATTTATTCGAAAACTTTGAAGACAAAAGAACAATGCAAAACCACGTAAATACAAAAAGTCAATGGTAAAACAGAGAAAAACACAAAACAACGCAAGTGAGGATTGTATAGAACTATAGTATTATGCAACGAATCTCTGACGTCAACGCGAAAGAGATTTACACACATATTTATTTCTGACAACAGTATAAATAACGAAACAGTTTGTTAGAGAATGATGTAAAAGAAAGAGTGAAAGATAGCCAAAAAATTGGAGAAGTTTCATAAAAAAGCACAAATAAAAAATAATGCTTTACAAACTACTATAACAGTAAAAAAAAACAAACTTCATATAAGATAACTTTGATCTCTTTAATCTGCAGGTATAAATTTATGAAACTTTCAGGACATACTGTTGAAGCTAGAACAAGTTTTTAGTGGGAGTACTGAAATCATTGAACAAAAGCTAAACCCCTGTATATTCACGAATTACGCATGCGTAGCCCTCCCCCCTCCGTAGGTCAAGCCAGGAGGTGCTTCCCTACTCTCAACACCCCTATTTTTGGCGCCCATTTACTGTTTTGAAACAAATGGGGTCTATGAGGTATCTGTTTGACTTATTTGATTATAATAAGATGTGAAATGGTTTTTAAATTTCTTTTACAATTTGTGAATTATTTCAGTACAAATGACTCATTGTGACTAACTCTAAAGAAATAAACATAAATTTAATCATATTAACTTTGAAACTCATGGAAAGGCAGCTGTAGATGAACTTTATAAAACCGTTTATTATGTTAAAGTTTTTGATTTAGTCGACTAATTACGAAACATTTAAAATAATTCCGTTGATGTAGTCTTTTAGGTTAGCAATCAGTTTGGATTTTATGAACAGAGAAATGATGCTTGTGCCCCACTTTTGTTTGGGTGTGGCCTAATATTAGCCTGTTTTACTATGGATTCAAAGATCCATGGCTCGCTTTCCGTTGGTGCAATAAACAAAATTATGGTCCGCAATTTGGGTTAGACTGGCCAAAGCTTGGCGGTGGTACTGATGATTAACTGTCTTCTTCCAGTCTGTAAGTTCAAAATTAGGGATAGCTAGTGTAGAGAGGCCTTGTGTAACTTTGCCCAAATACCCTAAATAAACCCCCCTCCCCACTTTGATTCCTAAATAACAACTGAAAGACAGTAAAACAAACATAGGTTTCAACGGCACAACTAATTGCAACAATAGCACATACATTTCTGCCAGTTTGGATGTAATGGGTGAGGGGTGTAACACCAACGTTAGGTTAGCTTTTTAGCTGTAATTCTTAAATAACATCTGAGCAATAACAGTGCAGAATTTCTTTTCGAGGCACAATCCAGAAGAAAGCTGAACAAAATCAAACAGTTATAAAGCAGTTCAGTAATTATGAATTGGGTCTCAACTGACAGGATTCTGTCTCATATACTAATAACACATGAATGAAATCGAAATTAATCTAGAAAACTAAGACTAATTTATAGTATACCAATGTCGAAAAAGTATAAGAAATAAACAATGATTCACAAAATTTGAAGAACACTATCCTAATAAGATAAACTACTTTAATCTTTTCATATTTTTCTATATTCTGAAATGAAATAAATCTTTTCTAGAGAAACAAAGGATGTCGGTAAGACGACATCTTTTCCAGAACTTCGTTTTGTTCAAGAAGAAGATCTGAGAATTGTAATTGCCACTGATTGGACAAATAAGATGAAAGAATTTGTGAGTTTAATTATATTTGATTTCTATGAAAGAGAGGAAAAAACAAACATTTTTCACGTCTTTGGAGAATTATGACAGAGATATAAACCATTGATAAAAAGGCAGATAATATCTTCCTCTGAAATGTTGATTTTGTTCTTTTTATCAGGAACTTTTGTTTTATTTATGGATTTTCATTGTTATCTTCTTTATCGTAAGCAAATAAAAACAAACTATTCCTCTTAAAATCAGCTTAGTGTATTCACTCCAATAAAATAATGAATATAAATCTTAATAACAAAACTGGAAAACCCACATTTTAATAATTTTCCTTTTTAGTAATGAGAATATAAAGATGTAAAATATACGTTTATTAGCAAACTATAAATCTATGTAAGTGGTGGATGCTGTTATGCGAAAACAAAAATTTTAAATTAAGATATATGATAAAGCTCATAATTGTAATATTACAAATATATATCATATATGACTTAGAACTATTTAATAGTGATGTCACGTAAGTTAATAAAACGTTTTTCCAATGTACATATTTTGCAAGAAGAAATACATTTTGTTTATTTACAGTAAATCTTAATTATGCTGTTTAAAGTAACTGTAATATGCAAAATACAACGGTCTTGCGTGGAATTATTTTTCATTTCTGTGGCTATATCCTTCAACTTTTCACTTTATTATTAAAAAAGTAATTATCCTTTTAGTTAAAATGAAATGAAGTTGTATTTCACTACCAGAATAGATTTCAAGCTATAAAAGAAGCAGCCAACTATTTCGCAAAAGACCAAGCACCACCAGGGACTGAACTTGGTCTAGTCGCTTATACAAACGAAAGCAAAATCTGGACAGAATCTTTGAAAACAGTACCAGTTTCTCTATCCTTTTATGAGTTGGCTTCAAACACCCAGTCAGCGTGTATGAGTTGCACTGTTAAAGACTGTATAAAGGTAAGTTCATTTTAAATTAAAGCCTAATATACAGTACAGTATTTTTAATCAGGATGCATTTCTTCTTTCTTTGCAATATTTATTAAATGTGTTTATATTTTACAGTTTATAAAAATACTTATTTAAAACCATAAACTTTCTAATCTATAGTTCTGTGCACAGCAGGAAATTTCTCTTATTGTTCTTTAGACTTATGATGGTGATACAACGTTATTTTATTGTTATTCAGACATATAATGGTGATACAACGTTATTCTATTCTAGGTTCTTTCATCTAGTGGTAAATCTGCAGCGGGGGGGAGCATCGTCATGGTAACAACAGGTGAAATGGATAAAAAAGGTGTTGATACAATTAGTGAAGTACTTGAGAAAGAGAAAGTCAGACTGTCTTTAATACTGTATCCTGCTTCCGAAAATGCTAATCCTGATTTAGTGAAACTGGCTCACGACACCAAAGGCCGTACTTTCCAAATCAAAGAAAAAAGTTTAGATGAGTTTACAACAATAACATCATTGCTTGAGCTACATCAGGCTTTTCAGGAAGTTATCCGTGGGAACTCGTGGGAGGCATCAGACATTCCAGTTACGGTATGTGATTTTCTTATATTAGCCAAGCTGTTTATAAATCTGCAGCATGATACAAAATGTCACACACTGAGGATAAATATACGTTATTTAAAAATAAAATGTAACAAAGCAACTCAATTCACAAACGATTAGTGATATCCGTTAATTATCAGTACTTTATTCTTTTCTGAAATTGTATAGAAACAATTTTCATATAACAGGACAATTTACGATATATATATATATATATAAACTATAATTCAAGATGGTTGCGCTTCAAGATGAATAGATTGAATACTTGAATCATTTCTTTTTTACCAAACTGTACTGCATACACCAAAGTCGTCTATATTTATTCGGTTTTATAGCATATAGGCTACTCTTTTATACAAAAACTATAAAAACCAGGAAAGAACTAAACATTTTTTGAAAAGCAATAAATTTAAGTTTATAGTTTACATGAAATGTACAGATATTGTTTATTCAAATATAAATCTTGGTTTTAAAATCTTTAAAAACTCAGGCTACAAAATAAATTATCTTATGCCTAACGTTTAAAATCAAAACCTATTAGAAAGTCTTTAAATTAACATCAACATCAAAATATGTTTAACGTTAACAATAATATTACTATAACAAAATACGTAAATAACTTTACAATGGTTACGATTGTGCAAATATGCAAATTAAGCAACAAATTAATAGAAATTTAGAGTCGAATGAAATAAATACATTTTTGGATTCGAGAGTTGTTAGCACGACGGAATGTGCTTGGCGCTTTTTTGAACTTGAAATGCATGGCCAATCACTTACCCTAATAAGGTTTCCTATACATTTACCAATGGAACAATTAACATTTTATTGTTGGAAAAGAAGAGCATTCAATGATGTATGAGTTAAACGCATTGTTTAAGCTAAATCAAACAGATCCTTATGCAAAAATGTCTCTTATATGGACATACCGAATCACTATGTGTAGGAAAATACCAGGTAAGGCTTGGAAGCAAAGAAAACGAGGTTCAGAGACAATCACTAGTCGTCTATATGCTGACGTACCTCACAATAGGAATTATATTATTTGAGATTGCTTTTGTTTCATTCCAAGATTTGAAGATCATGAATGGAATGATTTGTTATACTTTTAGAGAAGCAGCTAGAGGATTAAATCTTCTTGACAATGATGCAGAATGGGAAAGATACTTCAAGGAAGCTGCGTTTTCAATGTGCCAAATCAAGTGAGACAAGTTTTTGCTTATAAATTTCTATAAGGCCTAGAACAAAAAGCTTTGATTTTCGTTACCCTACAGACCATACGTAAAAACGCTCGACCCTAAGGTTTTTTTTCAACACTTCTCTAAAAAATATCTCCCCACCAACTCTAATGAAAAATGCCTTTCGATTTTTTTTTCATTAGATTCTTGCACCAATCTGCTATCATATTGTTCAAGGTGAAGGTTATAAGAAACCACGTTTCTGATTGTTTAGTTGGTGTGATGTGTCAATAGCTCACAGCCAATTATTTCTCTCAACACGGGTTGAGTAAAATTGACTGGCCATGTGACCACTTTGTACTTGTTATAGTTTGATACTATAAATTATGATTATCTTCACAAAATTTGGCAGACTTTCAATAAAAACCACAACTCTTTTATATGCAAAAAATCAGATTTCTAGTGAAGTAATTTTACTAATAATTTGTCCGTGAATATACCGATTTTTTTTTTTTACCAGTCTGAGTTCAAAGTGATTTTCATGTTAAGATTAGAAATACTTTTCCTCAAGCCCCCAGTCGCACAGCAGTGTGTCTT